CTCTTCACCGACGACGAAGTGCATGCGCTCGCGCTGAGCTGGCACCGCCTCGACCCCTGGCCGGACAGCGTCGAAGGGCTGGCCCGCCTCAGCCAGCGGTTCCAGACGTCAACCCTGTCCAACGGCAACGTCAGTTTGCTGCTCGATCTCTGCAAGCACGGCCCGCTCCCGCTGCCGTTCACGCACATCACCAGCGCCGAGGAGTTTGGCGCGTACAAGCCCGCGCCAGCGGTGTACGACGGCGCCGCGCGCAAGCTGGGCCTGCCGCCGCAGGACTGCGCGCTGGTGGCGGCGCATCTGGCCGATCTGAAGGCGGCCAAGGCGCGAGGGTTCCAGACCGTCTATGTGGAGCGGCCGCAGGAGGAGGACTACACGGACGAGCAGGTTGCGCAGGCGAGGCGCGAGGGTTGGGTGGATGTGTGGGTTGGTCTGGAGGAGGATGGCTTTCGCGAGGTTGCGAGGCGGTTGTGTGTAGACCAGATACTCGAGTAGATTACTACCTACTGATCGTGATGATATGTGTATATTCCAGAGGAATATGGCAGCAGCCAGACAGTACAGGGTAGATGAGATGAGAGGAATGCACTGTCATCGGTAAGAATGCTCTGGACAGCCCAGCAGCAGCTTAGACTGATCTATCTGTTGTCATAGCTGAAGTTGCTCCATCTCTGCGAAGCTGCTTACAAACGCTGCTGTAATCCGATCCCGTGATCCGATCCGAGCAGTGAATGACATCCTCTACAAGTACAGAGAAGTGTTTATGCCAGGATAAATCTACCCACTGCATCTCCTAATAATAATATCTCTATTAGAGAAAGATCATCAGTGTATACAAAGTGTCGCCTGAGTTCAGTTCCGTTCAGTTCAATCTGCGATAAGATTATCAATCTGCGGGGTAGATATCCGCCATGGCGGGGCAGGTCAGTACAGTATGTACTGTACAGTATACGCCACGATGACAGTCTCAGCTAACTGCTCCAGACCAAAATCTACCAACACGCCGACTCCGACGGACACTTCCGACGAAAACCCTCCGTGTTCCGCTCCTTCATCCCGTCCGCCGACTTCCCGCCCGAGAAGGACCGCTACGTGCTGTACCTGAACCTGACATGTCCCTGGGCGCACCGCACCAACATCGTCCGCTCGCTCAAGGGCCTCGAGTCGATCATCCAGCTCGTCGTGCTGGACCCAGAGCTGGGGCCCGACGGGTGTTTTTTCTCCGGGCGCGATGGCTCCGATGAGAAGGACCCGCTCTACGGCTTCAAGTACCTGCGGGATCTGTATCTCAAGGCCGATCCGTCGTACGAGGGCCGGTACACGGTTCCCGTCCTCTGGGACAAGAAGAAGGAGACGATCGTCAACAACGAGAGCAGCGAGATCATCCGCATGTTCTACACCGCGTTTGACGAATTCCTGCCCGAGGATCTGCGCGAGAGCAACCGGCCCGGAGGGGGTCTGTACCCAGCACACCTGCGCGCCGCCATCGACGCGATGAACGACTGGGTATACGACAGGATCAACAACGGGGTCTACAAGACGGGGTTCGCGACCACGCAGGAAGCCTACGACGCCAACGTCTACCCGCTCTTCGACGCGCTGGACCGCATCGAGGCCCATCTCGCCCAGCAGCCGGACCACCAGCCCTTCCTGTTTGGCGAGCACATCACCGAGGCGGATGTCCGGCTGTACACGACGCTCATCCGCTTCGATGTCGCGTACCATCCTGTCTTCAAGTGCAATATCAGGATGATCCGCCATGATTATCCGCGCATCCACCGCTGGCTGCGGAGGCTGTACTGGGATGAGTCGGAGCGGACGAGGGGTGGGGCGTTTAAGAAGACGACTGCGTTGCATTTGGTCAGTTTCCTCGTTTCAGATTTTCTGCTCTGTGACGTGGCTAACTGACTAAATTTTCTACAGTACAAACGGAGCTACCTCCTCGCACTGGGCAGAAAACATGGCCTTGGAGATGCAGAGATGATTGTCCCCGCGGGGCCTATTCCGGATATCCTTCCTTTGGAGGATGATGAAAAGTTGGAATAAATAAGCTGAATGAGATATGGACAAAGTCTTATAAACCTCTCTCTGGAAGACTATAAAGACTATATATAGTCGAAAAGGTCGAAATGAGGAAATGTATGTACATACTGTACCGCTGTACTGAGGTACTTACTGCACATACTAGTATGTACTGTACATAATACAGAGCCTTTGCTCCTATACCTACCTACATATATGTACAGTCCATAGTCCATAGGTAGGTAAATTATCTAGTTAGGTAGTAGATATACTCCGTATAGTATTCAATTTAACAACACAATTCACTCTCGTTCAGGATCCAAAACAAAAAGGGCAATCTAGTCAGTCATGCGAGAGGTGTATAAATATATTCATTCAGGTTCCATTCCATGCCACTACATATCTATCACATATTATCCAGTGAAATCTACATATAAGCAGATTCTCGAAGCTACGAAAAAAAATAAGATAGAAACAATAGAAAAAAAAAAAAGAAAAAAGAAAAAACACATTTTCTTCCTAAAAAAAGTAAAAGCTATAGTTTAAATCCAGCCTTTATCAAATAAATCCTTTGTTGTAGAAAAATTAGTGGTCGTAAAATAATTAGTGGTTATAAACTAATTATATGGTAGTCGTAAAAAATAAGAAAAATGTTATATCTTTTTTAAAAAAAAGACGTCTAACTTTTTCAAGACGTTTGATATTTTTTTTATATACAGTCTAGTGAGTATCTTTAATTTTCAGACGTCTAAATTTTTTTTAAACGGTCAATAGACCGTCAATCGACGGTAGTTCAAAACCCCCGGGATCCCGTATGGTATGTCCAGCTCGGGATGCCGACCGAGCGATTGATTGAGATTTAGGGCTTCACTTGCCGAGTTTCTTCTTACGGTGTATTTTTTTTCTTTACTTGCTTGCTTGCTTGCAGGTAGTACAGAAAAGTCTGGAATAAAATAACTATTTGATTATACCAGAAATGGCAGGACGTGGCAGGACAAGAAAAATAGGATCATGAAGTATTCTTGTCTGTATGTACTTAGGGTTTCTAGAAGGCCGTGGTTTGGGAATATTCATACGTGGTATCATTAATTACTATTTTTATTTTTTTTGTTTGTTTTATTTCATTCATTCATTAATTCAGCGATTCATTCTCTCTGGTCTCGTCTCGTCTCGTCTCGTCTCGTCGAAGCCGCTATTATCACGACTATGACCTAAACTGGGTATAATAATACAATACATACGATATCTGAGATAGGAACACTGGTTGAACCAGGTATCACGCATGTATTAATGCCTAATACGTATCGTATCGATCAATTGTCGTCGCTGCTTATTTCTCCTCCCGCTCCAGCGGCGGCGGTGGCCCGTACTCGTCCGCATCTAGCGCGTTCATCTCCTCCTCCTTCGCGTTCAGGTGGCGGAACAAGATGAAGAAAAGACAACCCACGGTAAACGACGCGCAGGCCAGTCCGACGAACATCCACAGGATCGCCGGGTCGTACGCCACCGGCGTCAGGGCCTCGCCAATGGCCGACCCGAACGCGTTCGTCAGCAGGTACATCGACTGCACGAACGACTTCATGCTCGGCGGCGCCTTGGTGTACGCGTACTCCAGCCCGGACACGGACGCGAAGATCTCCGAGATGCCGATCAGCACGTACGCCGGCGTCTGGATCGCGATGTGCACGTTGTTGCCCTGCGCGACCCCGTCCACCATCGACGCGTCACACAGCGGTTGCTCGTAGCACGGCCCCGCCGAGTAGATGAGGTGCTGCACGATGGCCGCGTACATCATCGCCAGCGACGCGACGATGAACCCCAGCGAGATGCGCGAGATGGGCTTGAACGGTATGTGCAGCTTGCGCAGCAGCGGGTACACGAACAGCTCCAGGATCGGGATGAAGACTATGATGGCGATCGGGTCGAAGTTCTGCATCAGATCGTTCGGGATCCCGTGGCCCTGCATCTGCCCCGCCTGCGTGACGAAGTTGTTCGAGAACTGTCCGTACACCACCCAATAGATCGGGTAGAAGCAGAACACCCGGCAGGCAACCAGCGCTCGCTTGACCTCGTCGACGAAGTGGTCGTCCCACCGGAGGTTGGTGCGTCCGCCGTGCGCCGCCTGCCAGCTGGGCTTGGCGGCATCCATGTTGCGGTGGAAGATCATGAGGCCCAGCACGCGGAATGCGTCGGCGATGATGGATCCCTGCGGCGGGCGCACGACGTAGAATTTGCGGCCGATGATCAGACAGGCCGTTCCGCACAGGAACATGCACAGGCACAGCAGGTAGGCTGACCAGAAGCCGATATCCCGCTCCATGTAGGGCGTGGCCAGCAGCGACAGCGAGCCGATGTTGATACAGGCATAGAAGATCATGTAGATCCGCTGCACGGTGACGGCGGGGTCGATGATGACGCGCTCGCCTTTTTTGGTGGTCTTGATGGCCATCTTCTTGCGCGTGTATTGATCGGCAATCTGACTCGTTAGCGCTCGATCTAGACGTGCTGCAGGGTATCGTATCATACCAATGGCGCGACGTTACTCTTGATACCACCCGTTCCCAAACCGATAACGATGATCGCGACAATGAAGCCTCCCAGACCGGCGCCATGCGCGAGAGCCGTCGGAATCGAGGTAAACAGGAGGATCACCAGACCAATCAGATAAACAACGCAAAAGAGCATGATGGTCTTGTATTTTCCCAGGTACTGGTCGGCGATGACGGCACCGATAATGGGAGTCACTAAGCACGTCAGTCCGTTGCACGACCAACGATAAACGTGGTGGGATCTCCAGTTGTAACTCACCATAGCACCAGAACTGGAAGAATGTCGACAAACCGGTGGCGCCCTGGTGTCCCATACCCAAGGCACCACGGCCCTCGCTGCCGTCGAGCGGGCGCTGGATGTAGTTCTGGAAGAGACCCGACATGCCATAGTAGGTGAACCGCTCGCTCAGCTCGACAGCAGCCACCAGCCAGGCAGAGACGGGCAGGTGCTCCGCGACATGCTTCAGCGTGCGCTTCTCCTCCTCTGTCGGCTCCTCTCCATCGGGCGTGACGATGGGAGCCTTTTCGTCCACCTCGCCAAGGGGCTCCTTGACGACATCCTTGGGAGGATCAGCCTGGACCTGCTGCGGTCTGTTGTCGTCTGTCAGTAAAATGGCCAGTTGCAGTATCAAGCATAGATCGCTACTCACTGCGCAACCTCCACCTCGTGGTTTGCGGTCGACATGGTGAGTTGGTGTGTGCTGCTGGGCTGGAAGACGCCAGGCAACGGCGCCTTATATGAAAAGCGCGTCTTCACTACTCACAAGCGACGCTCGACTTTTCTTCCCAGCCCGAGGCAGGCACCCCGCCAAGATCAGCGGGTCCGTGCAGTGAATCCTGGACTGACTGATAGGGACCCCACCACGCTCCGAGAGCAATCTCAGGAGAATTGGAAGTTGGAGCCTGGAACACCGCTAGCACGCGACGGCTGAAGACTGGGCTTGGCGTCGGAGCGGACGCTCGATCTGGATGGATCCGCCGATGTAACACCCAACCAGAGGAGATTCACGAGAAAATTTATACTTTCCTAACAGCCGCCAGCCTGGTTTTCTTCTTGAACGGAGTAAGCGGAGGACGCCGGAGAGAAGGTTCAAGGCCTGTGAAGAAGTATTTGCATACGGACGCCTGCGTACTACACTGACGCGCCGCATGCAGCTGCGGTGTTGCTCCAACGCGCATCCTGTGGCGGAAATCGCCAGCTGCAATCACCACGATCGTCTTATCTGCGGCGAATCGGGGTTCCCGTTCAGCTGGGGACGGGCTGATTGTTTCTGACAGGTGCTGGCCGTTCTTTGTCCTCCCCTGGAGTGTTTCTGCGGTGGGCCAGCGGCACTACTGAATGCGGCAACCGAGAGCATCCTGTGAGATTCGCCGGGCACATGGAGTACTCCGCAGTGCGAGCTTAGCTGCCCTTGGAA